TAAATCCTATGTTGCAAGGAAGAGCCCTATCTACTAATTACCAATATACAAATTTTGTGCAAGTCCCATGTTTATTTGTTAGGCTAAATTTGCAATTGTTCATTTTTAATATTTGAGTAAATTAGCATATCTATCCTCAATTTTTTATGTTCGGTTTTTGTCCTTAACCTTTGAGAAATTAGTAAATTTAGCGAAGTTTCTACCGTGTGAATCGTTAAGAGGCGTAACAATTTCTTATAATAAATCATGTCGGAACATCAAACTTGATCATGCGTAGAGAATTAATTTTTTAAAATTTTCTTCATGCATATTTGTTTAATTCCAAACAAACTCCATCTTCATACTACAACAAAAACAGTATTTTGCAACAGTCAAAAAACGTTGCGAAAGGTCTTTCGCAATGTTCCGGCGTATGTTGCGGGCTTCAATGTTACCCTAAAACCTGATATTTTTGAAATTAGCGAAATGGATTTTTTATTCGAACGTTTTTAATATGCAGATTAAGAAATCTATTTCCAACCATGGCTTTGGATTACATTCTTCTTTTTTAATTAAACCACTGTTTGTTGGCATGTTGTATTGAAGGTGTCTCAGCTTGGTCTCCACCTGAAAGTGCAAAGGAGAAAAACTTGTGTTATCAAAAGAATAAGATACAGCGGAGGAGACAAAAAATAACGAAGAAAATGAATATGTAGAAGGATGAAGACTCGAACACGAAAAATGTATCGCTGTCCTCAAACGATATTTGCCTCCTCCACAATGCTTTTAAGGATTTAAATTGGCAAATAGTTTGTAAGATTAATCGAGCATAATTGAATAACACCAAAAACAAAGTGTTTCTTCAAGGTCAACAAGTGAGAAAAAAGGAAATTTAATTATGAAAAGTTACAAAATTTCTTCAAGGTTTTTGGATGAATAATGGAATGAATTTTTATTTATTATTTTGGAATGAAAACTATCATGTATTAATAATTTTCAAACCTCTCATACGAAATGGTTTCAAACTCAAGTGAATAGGTGCATTGATTCACTAATAAACCACCAAAAAATTTTGAAAAAATTCCGGCCAACGGTAAAAAAACTTGAACTATGCGATAGCATAGGCTATAACCATGCAGTCGCATAGTTATAGCACCTGGTGCCCCAAAATTCCACATGCCCGCATAGGCCATTTTTATGGCGCAAAATAGATTTTTTCTTCCTTTTTTCAATTCATCCATCAACGATCCTTTTAATTCATTTAACCATGATTTTGAACGACAAGATTCCAACAACTTACTACATCCGAAGATGGGAAGGACATTTTTTAATGTGACCTAGCCACATTCCTCGTGAGATATACGAAGAGTATAGTGTCTTTCTGGCACTTGATCCCTGTTACACTTGGCCAAAAAAATGCATTCTTCCATTGCTAATACTTTTGTTATAAGTGTTCGTATGTAAATTTGATTTTTTATTTTGCTATATGAAATTTCTTTTAAGGAGTTTATTTTTTAAATTTCAACATTGGTTAGAATGAAGTTAAAAGATAAGGAATACGAGTATTTATTGACTATGGGATGATTGGAAATTTTGAATTTGACAGCATGCAAAAAGTCTAGACACAAGAAACTGTCAAGTAAGAATCTGAAAACGTTGTATGTCGATATCACTCCGTCCTTGTTTGGCTCCATTTAAATAAAAATTCGGAGAAAAATAAGTTTTAAAATAGTGATTTTCTGAATAATGTGTGGTTAAAAAATAAAGAAATTTTTTTAATTTACGTGTAATATTATTTTATGAAAGAATGTATGGTTGAAAATGAGTTTTGAAAAATGAAAAACAAACATATGTTCAATGGGTTTTGTATTCCAATCGAGGAATCTAGGTAATGTTCAAGAATAATGCTGAGTGCTCAGTTTGATAGCCCCCTCACATAGGGTGTGGGACCCGCAATTTTTAAAATTGCCCACCCCACCCCTTTGTGTGGGGACCGTCACCCATGATGTACACCAATTGTGTACATATAGCATTTCTCAATGTTCAAAATTGTTGTTGCATATATGTGGTGGCAATGGTGGAGGTAATGGGGTTTGGATATATTAAGACATTAGATTCTATCTTAAAAGGTCAATGGAGTTTGGATATATTAAGATATGAGATTCTATCCTTAAAGGTCAACGTTGTCGAGTGGAGTAGCACAATCCCTTATATATTGGTTTATATTTCGATATTTAATCGATGTGAAATTTATTCTTTAACATGCCTCACAAGATGGTGACATCTTTGAGCAGATAAATCTTGAAACTCGTATGCTGATTTTTTAGTCTTAATAGATTTGAATTGCTCGTTGGAGTTTAGTGAATTCTGATACCATATTAAGATTTGAAATTCAATTTTAAAATATAAACCATATTAAGAGGAGTATTC